CGCCGGGCGGGGCGGGGCTCCCGGCTCAGAGGCTCTTTATTCCGGGGGAACGCAAAGCTTTCTGGGAGCAGGAGTTGTTGTGGGCGCGAAGTGGCCCCCAACCTTGTGCGGGTAGGCTGGGCAGCCGTAGCTGAATGCGCGGGTGGGAGTAACGGGTCGAGGGTCGAGGATGAGGATAGGTGGGAAGGGACAGGGTGTGTAGACTGGGGGAGAAGTCGAGGCACTGGCAGCATGCAGAAGGCTTCCACCCACGTGAGAACACTGGGCTGCCGCAGTGGGTTCAGGAATCTGATCCCTGGATTCGGATTCCAGCCCTGCTATCTGCCAGTCGCGTGACCTTGATTAAGTTGCGTCCCTGTGCCTCGGTTCTCTTATCTGTAAAATGGGTATAATCGTACCTGTCCAATGGGGATGTGGTGAGGTCAGGTGAAATAGTATATGTAAAGCCCAGAGTTTGACATATAGATGCCACAGCTGCTGTTAGTATCCAGTCCCTGTTTCCCCTCCCCAGGCCGCGTGCTCTGGCCTCACAGACTCCTCACTGTTCCCCGGCCGTGCCCTGCACAGTGCTGGGCCTTACCTCGGGGTCTCCTTTGCTCCTTAAGTGAGGGTTAAGAGCTCTAGATTTACCGTGTCTGAGTTCACATACCTCCTCCACCACTTACGAGCCTGGGCCTTGCACAAATTACTCACTCTCTGTGTGCCTCAGTTTCCTCACTGTAAAGTGGGACTAATACTAGCACTTTGCCAGCAGACCTGTTGTGAGCCTCAAATAAGAAGCATGTTAGCCACCAAACACAGCACTTAGTAGGTAGGAAGTGCTCTCCGCGTGTTACCCATTATTTGTATTACCCATCCTCCAAAGTTTAACGCAAAGATACGTTTTCACCATTTGGAATTAATCACTTCCACCATCTGTTCTCCCACAGTGTTTTCTCTATATGCCAACATTGCAACACTTGGCCACCTTCCACTTTGTATTCTAGTTGAAGATCGGTGTGATTTGCCCATTGTAAATTCTTCAGGGCAAAAAAGCAAAGCAAAACCTGTTTGGCTCACCTTTGCACTTCTGCGTGGTACATGGCACCGGGCTTGCAAATGTAGGTTTTACTAATCTCACTACCTTCCTTGGTCAGGGAATCAGGAGAGAAGAAGGGGATACCAAGCTGAGGGTTGGCAGTTGTGTAGGAAGTTGAGCAAGACTTGTTTTTAAAGGCCCCTTCCTCCACCTGGGTTTCTCTTCTCTCAGGGCTAGTACGATAACTTCACATGAGATTTCAGTTTGCCCAATGGGAGCCAGAGAGCAGAGTCTGCTTCTGCTTTAAGCCTTGGTGGATGGATTAGGGGGCAGTGAAGAAGCTCGAAGAGGGATGAAAAGAGATGCTCACCAGATTAGTCAGATTTGGGACAGAAGCCCTGTTCACACCACTTGGTCCCTGGACAGGGATTTGGGTTCTGGTCTTGGTAAATGTCAGCTGAATTCAGGTTTTTACTGATGCCCTTCTAAACTGCCTGATGCTGTGTTGGAGGCTGTGAAGGACATGAAATGGATACTTTTGCTCAGTAAGTTTATGGTTTCCTTAAGGAGATTTGCCTAGAAACCAGAGAAAGAATATTGCAATATTGAGGAGATGTAAATGACTATAAAGGAGTGCTGTAAACCAGGTGAGAACAGAGATACCATCTTCAAAATGGTATCTTCCAGAATCTTGCACAGAGTTGGTACTCAATAAAACATTTTTTTTAGTGGAATTGAGGAGTTTACACTTCAGGTGTGTTTGGAGGGATCTGAATAGAGTAGGAAGGGCATTCAAATTTCCTTTCTAACATTAATCGGGAGGAGGCTGACCTCTCACCTTTTGAAATGTGATGATGATCATAATACCCATCAGACTGCCAATTCAAAAGTGTGGCTTAATTCTAGCTTATAAACTGGTGAGAAGGAGGGCACGTAAAGGACTTTGGGATAAAATATTAAACAGGATACTCATAATCAATCCCACATACCCTTGACCTTGATCATAATAAAAGGTCCCATTTTTAGAAATGCAGAGAGTGAAGTGAGATTGGTAGAAATGACATCTACTTAGGTTTTTTTTCTTTTGTCCTCCTAGAATCCCTTCATCCGGGAATAGTCAACCATGGTCATGTAAAAGCCTTGAAAAGTCATCTCCCTTTATTGAAATCCTTAAAACAGTGCTACTCAAAAGATGGTTCAAAACTGATGCCAATCTGCAAATCATTTATATCCGGTTCAGAGGCGGTAAGTAATAGAATTGAGAGTGTTTAGAAATTTTTTTTTAGCAATTTGACGTTGCTACATTCAACATGTAATCAATGGGTTTATGTGTATGTGTCTTTGTTATTTTACTTTCTAGAAATTTTATTTTCAAAGGTTGTGATTTACAACAGATTGGAAATTAATAAAAAAGAAAGCTAGTCCATTAGTCTGAGAAGCAGTGCCTTCAGTGGAATTCCTGTGAGGTAGGGAGGGTCTGCAATGGCTTCCAGTGCCCTCCTTTCCCCGAGTGTGCACTGAACCTAGTGACTTGCTTCTAACAAATAGAATATTACAAAAATGATCGGATATTATTTCCAAGATTAGGTTATGAAAAGACTCTGAGTGGCTTCTGTTTTGCTTACTGTCTTAGTCTGTCATGGCTGCTATAACAAAAACACCATAGAACTGGATGGCTTATAAACAACAGAAATTTATTGCTCACAGTTCTGGAGGCTGGAAGTCCAAGATCAGGGTGCCAGCGTGGTCAAGTTCTAGTGAGCTGCCTCTTCGGGTTTGCAGACTGTCGACTTCTTGTTGTATCCTCATATGGTAGAAAGGGCAAGGAGCTTTCTCAGTGGCTCTAATAAGGGCCCTAATCCCATTCATGGTGGCTCTGTCCTCATGACCTAATCACTTCCCAAAGGCCCCCACCTCCTAACATGATCATCTTGGGGGTTAGGTTTCAACACATAAATTTAGGGGAGACACAAATATTCAGCCTATAGCACTTCTCTCTCCATCTCTTCCTCTCTCCCTTTTGGAGAGGATGTCAAGGTACTAGCATCTTCAGCCAATAGCCAGTGAGAACCTACGGCCTGCTGCCAGCCACTTGAGTGGGCTTATGAGCAAGCAGATCCTTCCCCAGTTGAGATTTGAGATGACTATAGCCGTAGCTAACTCTCAAATCAAAACAGAGGATGTATCTAAGTCACACATGAATTCCTGGCCCCAAAATGACTCCAAGAGAAAAAACGTTTCAAGCTACTGAATTTTGGGTAATTTGTTACACAGCCTAGATAACTAACACACCTGTGCCAAAAGTGGGCATCCGACAAGTAGAAGGCAAAACTAAAAATGCAACTTCAGTTGTGCTGTCTGGTTAATGATATATTCAGTGAATGATTTATAACTACAAAGTACCATTACAGTAGTACATTCTGGTCCCCAGCTGCAATAATCTGGCTTACCCCTTTAAATGTAAGATTGTAACTTGGCATGAAAGATAGTTACCACTAAAACACAGCCATTGTCAAACTCACAATCTCCACACTTTCTACTGCAGTCCACCCTCCTGTGTGCTGTCTTGCTTGATTATTCATTACTCATCCTCCTCCTCTTGCAGGAGGAAAATACCTTTTTTTGATCAATGCATTTTCTATGGTTTTTGAAAGTCTAAAATCTGCTAAAATCTTATCTTCTCTGATGTAAGGTGAGTAGCAAGTGCTTTCTTCCATGGCAGTTTCTATCCAAAAAAGGCAGGATAGATCTAAACCTTGGCTTCCTTCCTTTAGAAAAATCTGTGCTAATATTAGCCACAGGAAATTTAAATTTGTGGTAGAAAATCCAGGATTAAGCAAAATAGCCTATTAAAAATCCAAGATATAAATTAAGGCATGTCATATTTTCTAGGAGGAAGAATTAAACATAGGTAGTTTCAAAACAGGCATATTCACTAGAATTTAAATGACTCTGCAGTTGTTGAGACATTTTGCAAAAGGCTTCTGCAAAATAGATTTATGAATGACCTTATTTGCTATCGTGTACCAGTTCTGGGTGGTGATGAATCAGCTGATATTTAATGAAGAGAAAAGGTGTATCCTATTTCTCTTGTTGGTCTGTAATTTTCTGAAAGCTCGACTGTAATGTCATTATGGACATTATGGTGGTGATTATCACCATCTATATGCTCACGTGTAGCATTCACAATAGAAGCTATGATAAACTGAACTCTGCTCTGTGCTGGGCCCTTTTCATGCATCATCGCATTTACTCCTCATAGCAACTCCATGAAGTCGGTATTACCTCCATTTCATATTGTCTAGATAAGGACGCTCAGGGACATGACACTCTGTACCCAAGGACACACCCTTGGTAAATGGCAGAGTCAGAATTCAAACTCACAATCTCTACACTTTCTACTGCAGTCCACCCTCCTGTGTGCTGTCTTGCTTGATTATTCATTACTCATCCTCCTCCTCTTGCAGGAGGAAAATACCTTTTTTCGATCAATGCATTCTTTCTATGGTTTTTGAAAGTCTAAAATCTGCTAAAATCTTCTCTGCAAAGTTTTAGGGGAAATGAAGTATTGGTTTTGTCTCTCCATGGGATGCTTCTTCTACTTGATCGTTTACAAAAAAATAACCAACCCTGTATTTAGGTTATTCTCTCATGTTTGGCTCTTTGGTGATTCTTGCACAGTTTTGATTCCTATTGATCTATGCCAGCCTCATTTCCATCAAAGACACATGTTGAGTGCCTGGTTGGTGGCAGTCATGGGGATACAAAGACTTTTAAGACTAGAGCTTGCAGTCTTATTAGGGAAGCAAGATGTGCACAGGGTGAAATGCATGCCACTAATGTGAGGGCTAAGATTCCTCATGTGAGAAATATGTTTTTCTAAGGCCAGGCCTGTGCCAGGGAACTCACAAGCTAAGTAGCTTTGGTGCCTTCTACCTAGACTCTGTTGTATGAATTGGAATTCTAACACTCAAGTTAAGGTTCCAGAGTTTGCAGTTGCTCTGGTGTGTGTGTGTGTGTGTGTGTGTGTGTGTGTGTGTGTGTGTGTGTAAGTGTAAGTGTGTAAGGGGTTTGCAGAGGACAGAAAGGGAATTAGGAAACAATTTAGAGAGGTCTAGGGGACATCGGAGTGAGGCTGATCAGGAGGGAATGAGAAGTCAATAAGCTGATCAGGAGGGAATGAGAAGTCGACAAGCGTGCAGCGTATGTACGTTTGGGAGCGAAGGAGAACTGCCATCGCCAGCCTTGGCCCCATCCATCAGATCTAGAGTGCTGGACCCCTAAACTATTTTGGGCCTGGTTCTCTTTAACCACCCACACACACTTATGGTGGCTAACCACCATAATTAACAGCACCCAACTCTCAGTGGCTTAACCCAAAGAAAATTTACTTTTTTTCTCATTTCACAGTTCAAGAAAGGGTTTGGGATGAGGGGAGTCATTTGAGGACACAGGCTCTTTCCTTATGGTGACTTTGTCCTCTCTGTCCTCAGCTTCTTCTCCATTCATCTGGTGATGGAGAAACAGAGTGAAGACTAAGCACGGGAGGATTTTGATGGGCCAGGCCTGGAAGTGGCCCTGTAACTTCCATTCACATTCCATTGGCCAGAACTCAGCCACATGGCCACACCTAACTGCAAGGGAGGCTAGAAAGTGGGGCCCAGCCATGTTCCCAAGACCAAGAGAGCAGAATATCTGTCTCTGGCACATCTGGTGAGCCACTGTCCCTTGGTCTTATTCTGCATTCCATTCATTCAGAAACTACTTACTCAGCACCTGCTAGATAGACAGCTCTTATGATGAAAAATATTATTATTAGCCACTCATAGTGAACTAACACACTAATACAAACCTAGAGCTCGTTCAAGCTTGACAGGTCTAAGAATTTAAGATGTCACCTGGTGAGAATGATCAAAGCAGGTGGTGAGTATCATGGAAAGAGCTTGGGATTCCTGGGGTCTAATCCTAGCTTGGCCCAAGTAATCATTTGGAAAGGGCACCTGCATCTCTGGACCTCAGGCTTCTAATCTGCATACTGAGAACTTGAACTGGACAGGTTTCTAAGTTCCATTCCTATTTCAGTGTCTCAGAAAGTCTTGGCAATGGATGAGGATTACGTTAGATTCCTACCAAACTCTAGTCTTCTCCTGTAACTATGAGGCTTTCAGTCTTAAAAGCACCACGTAGCTTTGGAAAAGAAAGCAAGAGATAATACCTTCTACCCTTGATTAAATCTCCAACTGGAAGAAGAATTTAAAAGGCATCTCTCCCTGACTTGCGATGCATCTTTTTTTGTTGTTGGCACATGTACGTGCTTGATGATATTTTGAAAGTCTAATGCTCATGTTGATCTTCACTCTTCAACTTCACACTGTGTAGTCACAGGGAAGCAGCACATAAGTTGTGTTGTAGAGAAAGTCACTGATCCCCCACAAGGTAGAAGACCCAAGCACCCATAATTAACATAGGTACAATTTGCAGACACCCGATGTATTGCTTCTTTGCTGTATGAAACTCATTCTGAGGCCAACGACCCTGATTATTATTTAATACATTTGATGGGGGTGTTTTTTATTAATTGACAATTAGTTTAGCACCTGAATTCTCTCATTTGTTTAATCGTCTCCCTCAAGCATATTTGTATTTTTGATAGCAGCTATACTGTTCTCTTTGCGAATTCATATCATTAACCATTTTCTGCTTAACTGTTTCTTTGTCCTTGCTGGTTATCTCTAATTCCTAGTTTTATCTTCCTGCACTCCAGAATCTCTATCTGATCTTAACTCGGCGGCAGCTTTCTGGATGTCAGACTACAAGACAGAAAGCGGAGCTTTCTGGGCCACACAGGTTCACTTCTGAGTCCCCTGCTAACCACTGTGTGCCTCTACCCACCTTTTGAAAAGGTAAATACTAGTCAGGGTTTTCACTTGGCTGAACAGATATTGTCTCTGATATTGTAGTGGCTTAAATAGTATCCTTCCCAAATTCACATCCACCCCAGACCTCAGAATGTGAGCTTACTTGGAAAGAGAGTCTTTGCAGATGTCACTAAGGTAAAGATTGAGATGCTATCAAACTGGATTATGGTGGGCTCTGAATCCAATGAGAGTGTCCTTATAAGAGACAGATAAGGACTCACAGGCATGCAGAGAAGGAAGCAACATGAAGACAAAAGCAGAGGTTGGAGTGATGCTGCGACAAGCCAAGGAACACCAGGAGCCACCAGAAGCTGGAAAAGGCAAGGAAGTGTTCTTCCCTGGAGCCTTCAGAGGGAGCTTGGCCTGTCAGCACCTTGATTTCGGACTTCACATATGGGAGCCATATGTGAAAGAGAACGTTTCTGTTGTTTAAGCCACCAAGTTTTTGCTGTGGTAATTTGGTCTGGCATTCCTAGGAAACTAATATAGAATTTTCCGTCCGTTTTTGTTTTGTTCTTGTTATTGTATAAGAACTATTTCTTCCTCGAGTAAAGACTGGGGTCTCTGGGTCATATAATAATTTTTATAAAAATTATTTGGTTTTACAACAAATTGGCTTTATTGTAACTGCTTTTTAAAAACCACCTATGTTGATGAACTCTTTCATGTAACAAATACAGCTCCATGTTGTCATCTCATAATATCTCATAATATGGGTGTGCTTTGATTTTATTAAACAATTTGCTACTGATAAATGTTTAGATTATCAAATTTTCACTTTTATAAGCAACTGTGTGATAAACTCATACATATTTTTGGGTACATACCTGATTATTTACATAATATAAATTCCCCCCAAATTTCTTAAGTCAAAGAATATATAAACTTTTGGGGAGGTTAAGAGATATTCTGCCAGTTGCTCTTCAGAAAGGATTATAAATAGTGACTTTCAGTGTTTTTAAACAGTAGTATATCCTAATTTTGAATTTCAGTAAATAGCCCCTGATTTTCTGAGTAAAGCTAATATAACTTTGCTGTCACTAATGTCTAGACTAGAAAGGATCTTTAAAAAGGTTTGTACAGTAATTTAAATTTTTTTGGAGAGCCTTTTTCTTCAGCTGTCTCCTCTATTCCTTTCTATCCTGTCTCATTTCTGTTTGAAAGTACTTTGTGATCACAGTGTATTATTTACTACTTTATGATTTTTACAAGCATCAATTAACCATAACATTGCTCACCTTGACATGTCTTTTTTAATTCAGTGGCAAGTGCATTTTCCCAATTCTATGGAGCGATATCTCTCCAAAACTTTAGGATTGGCAAGATGAGTTAGGAAGAAACAGAATCTGGATCTGTTTCCTACGAAAGTGTCAATATTTGCTAAAACAAAGAGCCGGAAGTATCCCGAGTGGAATGCCATCTGTCCTTGTCTTTGAGAGCCTGCCGGAAAATCTTTTCACAGCCAAGGGATGATTATTTGGCATAACCGACACTGAAATTCAGCAAGGTGGCTTATAGATTAGAAACTGGCTGATATAAAGAGATACTTTGCTATGTGAAAACTACAAGTATAGACATGCGTTTTGTTTTTGTTTTTTACTTCTCCAAAGTGCTTCCCACAGGAATCTTAATCAGCAGGATTACCTAGTTGATTTAAATATTCAGGTCATTAACAAGTTATTTTGTAGCCCAGCCTTTGAGGAAGTGAGCAGCTGACAGAATGAGACATAGTTCCCCTCTTATAGTTTCATTATGTCAACCGTGCTGTTTCTTAAGCAAATAAACATACTACTTTCTTCTGTTACATGAGGAAACTCAGTTCTGTTACAGAGTGAGGGTGGAGGTGTAACACAGAGCCCAGCTTCTGATATGTGGTCAGTTGTGTCACCTGAGTTCCAAAGGAGGGTCTTAGCTAGCTGAATTCCTTTGGAGGAAACCCAGATAGATTCCTTTGAATAGCAATGGGAAGAGTAATTCAAGAGGTCATCTTGGGTAGGAGTGAAATTCTTTAAAATACGTTTGGCAGCTTTCAGTTCCCCAGTGGGATGTTTGCCACTCAGAATCCATCTGTGTATTGTCCGGCTCTCCCCTGAAAACAAATTCATTTTGGAACCTCAAACCATCTGTAGCTTCTGACTCCACATTGTTCTCGTGACCTCGAAACACTCCCTCCAGCTATATCATTTCCTCCAAGTTTATTTCCCGCAGATGCCACCACCCCTCAGTTGGACCCTCATCTAATCTCGCTCTTCTTAGGAAAAGAACAGTCATCCCAGCCTCAACAGGGCTCTGCCGTAGACTGGAAAGGACCAAGAGGAAAGATCTCTTATTGCAAGGCATTTAGCTGCTCTGCAGACATCTTGGCCCAGTTTCACTAGATTTAACTAATCTAGGAGCATTTCGACCACTAGGAAAACACTTGTTACAGCCCCCAAAGATACATGGGTACTTTTTCTTAAAAGGTTTCTGATGTGGACTACATTCATTCATTCATTCAATTAGTTTTTAATGAGCACCTGTTATGTGTCAGAAATTGTTCTGAGAACATTTTTCTGTGAATAAAGCGAAGCCCCAGGTCTAATGGAGTTTGCAATCCACATGGGGGAGACAGACAGTAAACAAATAATTTGTCAGGGGCTGATAAAGGCTAATAAAGAATAAGGAAGAAAAGAAGGAAGGAAGGAAGAAAAGGAAGGAAGGAAGGAAGGAAGGAAGGAAGGAAGGAGAAGGGATGAAGGGAGGAGAGTGATAGTGTGTGTATGGGTGCACACACCTGTGTTGCACAAGGAGGTGGATAGGGAGAGTGTGACCTGAGGAAGG